TAACACTTTTGTAAACGACTTTAAAACTATAGCAAACCTTGTTAGTGGTATTTTTTCAAACAATAATGAATTTCTAAATGGTGCTGTTCCAAAATTCATTTATGTGACTGATAACTCAACAAAATCTATATCCTTAACATAACTAAACATTGGTCAGCCTATAAATACCCTCAAAGTTTCTAGAAGTCATGGAGTAGACGGGATTTCATTCTTTCTCTACAAATTTCGCGGTCCAGATATTCCACGTCCTCTTTTAAAGCTGTCCACATCATACCAAGTTACAAATCTGGAGATAAGACGGACGTGAACAATTGTCGGCCCATAAATATTACTCCAATTATCTCCCGGATTACGGAAAAAGTGACGAACTCTCCCACTACTTGCTGTAAAATTCATCAATGATTCCCGACATGGATTTCTTAAAATCGATCTTGTATGAGATGTCACTTTGACTACTTTAATCTAGTTTTATGTCAATGTAACCAATGATATCTAGGCTTATTGCTATACTTTGACATCTTCAAAGCTTTCAAAATGACATACCATCAGCTTCTTATGGACAAAATCGCATCTTGAAGGGATCAATAACCCTCTGCTTGCTTGGTTTAATCCTTTTCTTAGGAACCGACACTATATAGTCAAACTTAACTCCTCCTTGTTGAATGCGCTCCGGATCGAAAGTGGTGTATTATAAGATAGCATCCTTTTAGCTTATATCAATGATATTGGAGTTTGATTTTGCTTGGGTAAGTTTCCTCTATACGCAGATGGTCTTCAAATAGAGTGTTTATTTTCTCCTCATGAGCTGAACAATATGCAAAATTGTTTAAGTGTGGAGTTTAATAAGGTAGTCTAGTGGTGCTCAAAATGGAAGTTGGAGATTAACATGGCTAAATGTGGATAAGTGATCCTCAGTAATATATCACTCAACTAAGATCTTATCATAAATAATAAGGTGTTATCTAGGTTACATACAGTAATAGACTCAGGATTTAGGTACTCCTACAATTTGTCCTCTACAGAACAAGTCTTCAAAAAGACCTCCATGTCAAAACGTCTTATAGATTGCCTAATATGCAACCTCAATAACAATGAGTCACGTATTTTGATGTATGAAGTATGTGTCCGACCTCTCCTAGAATACTGCACGTTTATCCTTAGTAATGTTCCCATAAATAGTAAATCAAGGTTGAAATCGGTGCAGAGACGATTTATACTTCACATTCTTGAGATCGACTGTACCTTAAATTAGATGTCTAGATGTAATGCACTCCGACTCGACCCTTTGTGGAGAAGGAGGAGGAGGACATTAAAACCACATCTAGTCTTTTTTTCAAAGTACCTAATAAACTACCTTTAATATCCAATGAAGCAATTCAGTATGCAGAAACTCCTAGTTACAGCATCCGTAATTCTTTGTCATTAGTGAAACAAGCACATTCTAAATCTTCTCTCTATATGAATTACTTTATCAGTAATTTTTCCAGACTCTGGAATAATTTGCAACCATCTGTCCGTGAAATAAAATAACTCTCATCCTTCGTTCACTCCATTGATGCTTTCTTCACCTCTGAAAATGCTTTAAATATTTTTACACCCATAAGTATACCTTATTCCATAAGTGAGATGATGGGAACTTCAAATATTTAGACGTTTTTATTACTGAAGCCACTAAGAAAATCTTCCTACTTGCTGATACTTTACATTAGTACCGACCATGGTAACTTTAACTAATTTGAATATCTAGCACGGACAGTAAATCATAAAATGACCTGGTACATGTATTATGGTAGACCTGACTGACCTAGTGTAGTAATTATTGCTTTGTTGTTCCGTGCTCTCTATTTTCTCTGCTTGTAGATAGTTATAATCAATCTGTTAAGGCATAAAAAGTGATCTTAAATGCACTGTTCATAAATCAACAGCATGGCCACTTAAAAAGAATTAAAAGGTCCTGGCTGATGCCCTTCATTGCTGTGATGTGTGAAAAATGTACTACCTAAATAAGGTTTTGAACTAGAACACTTCAAACAATCCGATGTCACATATCTGTCCCCTAGATTTAATGTTACTATCTAGTTGATCATGCCTGTAAACTGGCATGAACTCGGTAACTATTATTCTCAGAATATATATATATATATATATATATATATATATATATATATATATATATATATATATATATTACAGACTTGAAGCATCTTCAAGAGAAAGGTAATGAAAATACGCCATTTAAAATTGAATTGTACCAACTGCAAGAAATTTCCAAGCCTAAGGAGACAATCAGTCCCAAACAAGGCCTTCAGAACGAAGTGATTTTGTTTGCCGAATAATTTTAAAAGGTTTGCTTTCATCTAAGGCATGTGTTGATATTATTCAGGAAGACAATGAAATCTGTATAATTCGACAGTGTAGCTCAGAGAACGGAACGAGGGAAAAAGTACGTGTAGTAAAGTCCAAATTTTAGTAACTAAGGTTCCATTAAAAGACTTGACTTATTACCAGTTATACAAAAAAAGGAACTTCCTAAAAAACCAAATATTTATAATATTGATTGAACACTAACAACCAGCTGATTACTGATGGCTCATCTAAAAACAAAGAAATCTTGGAATATCAGTCTGCAAGACAAGAATATAAACCTTACAACAAAGTCTATGGTTTGTGCACACGAAATGTCAGCTAACAAATCAGTTATTGGCTTTGTTAATATTTTGCAGATCTAAAAATCAGGTATTTTGAAGGTCTTGGTAAACACAAAGCTATTATCAATTTTCACACTTTGTCTTTGGTTTAGATAATATTATAATTTTTTCTGATTATCACTTGATATCAATACAGATCTAAATTTATATTCCAAATCAACCTGACTCATTGTAAATCGATATGGCAACAAATTTTCACAATAGATCAATCTAACATGGGGTTGATATGAAACTGTGTTTATTTTAGTTGTCTTGTAATTGTGATTTCTGTACTTTTTGTTTGCATTTCCATGTGTATTCGAAATTTTCCAACAAACAAAACTGATTTTAACTGTAAAATTATTGAGAGCCAAGGAAGACTGGGAAGTTGCTTGGTCCTAGTCCTGCACCGAGACACTCATGCCAGGTCCTATACATTGTCTGTTTGACATTTGGGCTAGTTATTGGGATGTTAATGGCAATTAATCAGTGTTTACTCATCAGGAATGCTGACAGTTGTAGCATCAATACAGAGTGAACTAGAAATATTTACGAATGAAATAACATCAGAAATATCTTTGCTTAGTGATTTTCTAAAAGTGATTTCAGCAATTGAATAAATCGAAATTAGTAAAATTAGAGACACTTACTCATACTACCCTATCACGTACATAATTAAAAGATGAAAACCTTTCTTCCGGTTACATTTAAATCCAGATCAAAAAGTGGGCGTTTATTGTACTTTCTCTACCTACAGAGTTAGAGAAAAGAAAATAATCTCCAGTATGGGGGTGTGAAGATTGTTGAGTTACATGTAAACCAAAAACCGGTCCGAGTTAGACAACCGTTGAAAACTTGAAGGCACTGGATGGCCGTTCCGTCCTAGTATAAGGTCATCTTATCCCTAGTGACCAGATTCGAGAGGAAATTTCCGGAGTCCTAGTAAAAAGTCGTGACCAACGGAGCGAATCCGTATCGGGTGTGAGGCAGCTAACCACCCAAGGCAACCGAAAATGGTCACGTAATGTCGTGGATTGATTGAAGTTAGACATAAACGCTGTCAAATACCAGATCATTGGTCTAGACGCTAAGCGACCGCACGTAAGACCAAAGGTCTAAGCTTCGATTCCTACATGCCGGGTTGTGGATGTGAACTGCTGAGTAATCCTAAATTACGACGAAACGGGTGTCCGATGCCTCCAAGTTTTCGATGGTGATCTAACTCAGGTTGGTTCATGATTTTAATGCGAAAAAGTAACCCTAGGATATGTAGGTTGTAATCAGATAGAGTGAATCCAAACTGTTCGCATAACTGCGCTTTTTATTTCATACACTCGATTAATTAATCTATGAAGACCACCGTATCTCACGGGAAGTATGGAATGCAGTGGACAGCTGGAATGCAGCTAGACGGTTTGGACTTCGCATATCACCTAGCTCATCTATCCCATACACATCAAAAAATAAATGTAGTAGTAGCCTCTGTAGCAACGTAAACATGAGAAGAAGCAGGATCCTGAAATATAACAATAAAACTCTAAAATATACTAATAATTTAAGTGACTAGAAGCACTGATACATACCAATATCTACATCCCATTTTGGTGGTATGTTATTTGATTTATTGGGTTACACCACATGCTTCGAGGCTAAGCAATTGTATTAAGATAAGTCAGTATGAATTCTAACTGTGTTTCGATGGATTGATAGCATGCGGGATATCATAGCCACTTATTACTTATCTATCGTATGCGTTTTATCATATTTTATATTTGATTTGATTAAAGAACAGTAACATTATCATTATTATTATTTTAAATAATTGTATTCCATAAATAGAACTTGTGAGAAAGTAAAAACAGAACAATAATTATATTACCATATCTATTGAATTTCTTAATTCACAGAACATAATGAAACAAAATCTGTTAGATTAATCCACCGAATAAGCAAAAGCAGAATATTGAAAATTTAGAAATAAGAAGTATGAATTAGGTAGTTTGTACGAATCTACCCGTAATGATCATACAAGCCAATTTGGTTTTTTTTTGTTTTTAAATTATCTTGTTTTATTCCTGTGTGTAGGATTCATTGTTAATATTAAGCAAATAAAAAATCTTTAAATCGTGTATCACTTAAAATCTAACAAAATAACTGATTGTTGGATAGATCAACAGATTAAACAGAAGCAACAATAATGGTAGTAGTGACTTTAAAAAAAGAATGATTGTCAAAAATCTTTTTCACATTTTAACAAACAATTTTAGGATATTTAAAAAAAAAGCAGTAGGGAAAGGATTTGTTAACGAAAATTCACAAAGGGCTGTAATATCCAACTTGACGATTACATGATGGACAAAAATGTCTAGCACTTTTTGTGGAATCCAGACAGAATGGAATCAAGCAGCAACCAAAGAAAAATCTGAAATGAAAGAAAATGTTAAAAGTCGATATTTTATAATGGATTGAAGCTCTTTAATGACAAGTACCCGGACTAGATCGACAGATTTTTTGTTGACAGTATACTGCCCCAAAAGCGCTGATAGTGCCGAAAGTGGAGATGATCCGTTCTCCTTATCAAGATCCTCTTATATGGCCATGCGGATATAGACGTAAAAATTGTGAGTAGAAAGTGGTGTAGTTAGGGATCCTAAATAGTGACGATTAATTGGTTAATAGGGTGTAAATCCTCACTATCTGAGGCGGTTGAGTCTTATGTTATAATAGGGACCTGGAGGTGAAGATGTGGTGTTAGTCCGTGAAATTGTTGACCATAGGTCCTATCTACGTTGATAGGTGTAGACATCTGGATTTAGACTTGTGAGGTAGTCTTAATCTGCGTTTAAAGATGGGTGATGCGTTCCGAAATCGGTTAGAGTAACGAGGTCGTATTTATTTCATTATAATAGGAGGAATATAGCAAAGGTTGGAACTGGTTTTCAGGTTATGATTATTATTACTTATATTTTTGTTGCGTAACTACTGAGTAATTGGATTATTACTTTTATATATTACGTTTAAGCTTCCGTTCAACCCGTTAACTATTATTGTGCGGTGTTCCAACCGTGTTAAGGTTGGTGAAGCCGATTGGCTTTTCTGGAAATAGTCGTAATAACTCAAGGCTCACAAACCCTCCGCGTGCATGTGATTTCGTAGAAAGTCATCTTGGCGTGCGGACGTCGCACCATGAGCAAGTATAGTCTATAAGCATACTGGTGACAAACGTTTCCACCCATGCATCGCATAACATACATAGAGGAATATTCACCCACTTGGGAAAATAGATGTTCACCACTCCCTTAGAAACGTATTTGCCAAAGCTGACAGTCACTTATGCATTACATGCAAATCGCTGGTACAAGGTCTTTCGGCCCGCACTTCATGACATGCAAATAGGCATATACACTGATAAGAGGTAAATGGTTACCTCTCCCTTGAATTTGCTATTATTTATTTTTTATCACGTCTTCAACCTAAAAGATTAAGCCACTGATTTTATTGGATATAGGGCAGACATTTTTTGACCATGTTACTTGTGCTAACCCAAGCGCGTACCATTCGCATATATCTACATACATAGACCATACAAGACAAAACTCAAGCAATTCACATACGTTAGCATACACGTCGGGTAGTCCGCAAGACTTTAGTCTTGTGAGCGTCGAGAATGAAACCCAGTTGACCTAGTTAACAATAAAGTGATGGATTAGTCCGATAAACACCGATCGACCAAGTTAGCTAGCAAGCTTGACCCTACTAATGAACAGTGTCATGTGAAGCCTTCCAGTCAGACTTTGCGTCCTGGATTACTGTTACTTTCCTTAGCCAATATACCAATGACAGGAAAATATTTCTATTCACATCGTGGTTACCTTTATTCTTTGAAACTACATCTAGTAATACAGGTAGTAGATGTCCACTAAATATATTTCATATCAGAAATATTTTTCAGATATTCAGAGGTATTCTTTTTATAAAAATGAGGGTATAATTACTAAGGTAAAGTGTGAAAGGTATCATTCTGCAAATCTGGGAAACGAACCCCTCCTGTAACGATTCTAGAGCTACTGCTGGACCCATGCCCACACAAAGGAGGAGGGTTGCGTATGGAGTCGGCATATTCATCCCGTAGGAAACAACCTCGCTGAAAAAACGCTAACCACCGTAAACAAATTAAATCATTTAAGTTTCGTCCTGAGAGTTAAACGATTTTCATCCAGAAGAACTATAGCGACTCATAGTGAAAGCCGAGATTCTTCCGAAGTCACGAGGTCGATGCCCCTTCTGACAACCAGAGCAACAGTTAATATAGGTACATGGAATGTTCGGACAATGTGGAAGACTTGAGAGAACTAAACAAATAGTGGCGTAAATGAGGAGATACAACCTGGAATACGTGGAACTCATTGGATCAAAGCTGGACAGAAAAGGTTAAATTCGGAAGAGATACTGCTGTACTCTGGTCTCGGAAAAGGAAATGCTCCATACACACAAGTTGTACCGATGCTACCTAAATAAGCATGGGAATCTCATAGATCCAGAGTCATTAGAGCATCCTTCAAAACAAGGAGAGATGGGATTACAACGAATATTATCCAATGTTATGCACCCACCAATGGTAACAATGAAGACAATAAACGTCGGTTTTACTAGACGCTTCAGTCGGTCGTAGAGAAGTGCTCGGGAAGGGAACTGGCCATCCTGACCTAGCAACGACAGTGGAAAAAGCTGCAACAGAAGGAGTTATGAGACGACTATATGACTCAACGAAGAAACTAGCAAGGAAATATGGTAAACCAGAGAGACAAGTCAAAGACAAAGAACGTAAACCAATCACTGAGATTGAAGAACAGAGAAACAGATGGGTAGAACACTTTGAGGAACTCTTGAAAAGACCAGCTCCATTGAATTGACCAAACGTCGAAACAGCGCACACAGACCTTCCTATGACTGTTACTTCACCAACGATCGGAGAAATCAGGATAGCCATCAGACAAATAAGGAGTGGGAAAGCAGTAGGACTTGACAATATACCACCAACTGCAAATATGTTCCACGTTCTACTCAGGAAGAGTGGTTGAGAAAATCGTCAACATCATCCGGAATTCACACGACTAACTATACTGCAAAGCCTTGCATGAAGGACAACTGACAGATGCATTTCAGTTGAAGATTTGTGTCAGGTAAGGCTGCTTGCTCTCACCCTTTCCCTTTCATTTAATAGTTAATTGGATTCTGAAGACCTTCAAATTTCAAGAAAGCACGGAACACAGTGGAGAGCTTTGATGCAACCAGACGATTTGAACTTTGCAGATGACCTAGCCTTTCTGTCTCATTCACACCAATAAATGCAGGCCAATACAACCAGTGTAGCAGAAGTCTCTGCATCAATAGGCCCCAACAAACACAAAGGAAAAAGCGACATCCTCAAGTACAACAAGGAGAACACCAACCCAGTCACAATTAATGGAGAAACTCTGGAAGAGGTGGAGACTTACACGCACTCATCTGGGCAGCGTCATCGATGAACAAGGAGGATCCGACGCAGACGTAAAGGAAAGGGTTGGCAAAGCAAAGACATTCCTACAGTTGAAGAACATGTAGAACTCAAAACGAATGTTAACCAATATCAAAGTCACAATCTTCAATACGAACACCAAGACAGTTTTACTCTATGGAGCTGAAACTTAGAGAACTGTTACAATTATCATCAAAAAGGTACAAGTACTCATAAACAATTGTCTATGCAAGACACTCAATATTCGTTGACCGGATGCCGTCAGCAACAACCTATTATGGGAGAAAACAAACCATCTTCCAAAAGAGGAAATTAAGAAAAGGCGTTGGAAGTGGATAGAACATAGATTGAGTAAATCATCGAAATGAATCACGAAGCAAGCCCTAACTTGGAATCCTGATGGTAAATAGGGGAGAGGAAGTTCAAAGGACACACCGTGTAGAGAATTGGAAGCGGACATCTAAAGGATGAACAACAACTAGGAACAACTGGAAAGGATTATCCAGGACAGATTCCGATGGAGAATGCTGGTGGGCGATCTATACTCCTTGATGAGTGGTAACAGGATTCAGTAAGTAATTATCAGGAAAGAAACTTATGCAATTGGTGTATATAACTTATTGTTTTGAACAAATTATTATGTATTTTACAAATTATATATTTTTTGATCTGTTTCACCCTTTGTATAATAGTGTATTCTGTGATTTTCTGCAGGTAAAATGGCTAAATTCATTAAAGCATTTTCTGGAAAAATGTATTTATTTAAAGCAGAAAAATTTTTTTGTGACTTTCCCTGTAGAATATAGACTTATTTTTCGTTTTTAATTTTCACTTGACTTTCTGTAGAGTATTCAACATATCCAACGAAAATTTTAAAGGAAGTGTCTGATGTCTTCAAATATTCAAACATTTTTTCCCCTTAATAGACTAGTTTTCATATTTTCAAAGTATAAGTGGATGAGGAAAATCAAATAAAAAGGGAATGTATACATAGTATTCAATTTTTTCTAACAAATATTAATATGAAAATTAGTCGTGAACCCAATTATTATTATTATTTAAACATAAATATTGGTACAAGGGGGCACCAAATATATATGCGTCACACAAATCAAATGAGATTTGTGTGAGGGCTATGATACTGCGCAGGTGCCCAAACTGAAGCAGGTAGTTTTCGTAGGCGGCCACACCCGAAGCCTTTGACCTAAAGGTCTGATCCACAAGACAGTGGAGCATCCTGAGGAGATGCAGTCCCATGGTAGCCAGTGACCAGTGGCCATTTGTTCCATCAGGATACTAGAGCCCATGTGCACCACTGGTTTGGAATCAGGGTTTTCCGACTCCTGATGTGGATTTTCCGTGTCCACCAATCCGGTTAAAAACGTCGGACATTCGCTTTTCGTCCTCTCAATTTCGTAAACAACACCCATGCCATGAGAAGACAGTGAGTAGAACTTTCCTGGCAGAGGCTATATACGCGTGGCCGTGTGAGAGCATTTCGAGAGGGACGGTGGCCCCTCACCACTCTCGGCCGTACCAGGGCATTCGGGGGCATGGTTGTCATTAGTTATATAATATTTTATGGACTGAGGGGAATTTCAAAGTGAAAAAGACAATTTTATAATCCTTGGAAGCATCTGGTACTGTACAGAAACTTACATATTGAACTGGTAAATGGTTAATCATTCATTTAATCAGCTGTTTTTAGTTTGATCGTACTTCATAGGCATTTGTGATTAATTGATGCAAAATAAAAACACAAGATACATTTGCTTATAGAATATATTTTACTTCAAATTACTGAATTTCAGTTAGATATGGATTATGTAAATACTTTCGGTCTATCTACTACTGTCAACCAATATCGAAGCCCCTAAATGCCCTGCTACTACTGAGAGTGGTGA